TCTGGTGTATTCTTCCGACACCTATCATTAAAATGTATTCCTTTTAGCCTTGCTAAATTAATTTCTTTCTTATCTAAACTATGTTTCCTCTCCCTTCCAGACACAACTTAATCATGTTTTAACTTCTCAAATCCCCTCAGCTTCTCATCCCTCAGAACTACATGTTAGGATCCCATTACCCTATCTATTTGGCTTAATTCTGCTGAACATCATTAGCAAATCTCCCTGTGTGGATATTGATCCCATTACTATTCAGATGTAATGCATCCAATTTGTACAAGTCTAACTGACCCAGAAATGTTCCAATGTCTCTGGAATCTAAAGCGCCCCCTGTTGTACCATCACCGAGCTATGCATTCATTTGCTATATCCTATTTTTATACTCACTACAGCTTGGCACCAGGAGTAATTCACAGATTACTACCTTCAAAGTCCTGCTTTCTATTTCCTATCGAGATCCCTGAAGTTTTCAGAACTTAATTCTCTTGCTTTCTATGTCATCGGTCCTGACATGGGCCACAGCTTCTGACTGTTCACCCGCCCCCTTCAGCCTGGCACCTGGGAGGAAACATACAGTCATGGAATCAAGTCTCCTGATGCAGAAGCACCGGTCTACTCCCCTCACTAAGGAAGCCATCAGCATGATTATCTTTCCAAACCTCTTCTCACCATCACCCCTGAGCAGCTGGGCCATCCACAGTGCCATGGTCTTGGTTCTGGATGGCATCCACAGGGGAGCTGTCACACTCACCCTTTTCCAAAGTTTGCAAGCAAAATGTGCTCGGGAAATCCCCATCTCTTTTCCCTTTTCCCCATTACCCTCTCCACACCGCCACCCGCCACCCCCCCCCCCCCCCCCCCCCCCCCCCCCCCCCGGCCCCCCGCCAGACCCAAACTGCCAATTCCCCTACTTGGGGACCAAGTAATTGATATCTGTCTTTACTGCAAGGTCTCAGAATTTAAAGCATATTGTTCAGGTTAAATTCAAAATTATTCTTTTATTGTATGAATCCAGTAAGAGTGACCTTCATACAATTATATACACATTTCTGTAAACTTTGACTTGATTGGATTTAACAAATTATAGATTGAAAGAAATGCTAAAGTTGAGACACAGAACTTGGACAGTTACCTAAGCAATCTCAGTTAAGTTAGCCTTATCAGAAAATGTTTGAAATAAACTAAAGAAGTCCAAGTTAATAGATTAATTCGCAAAGCATCAAAAACAAATTGTAAAGACTTGAACAAAAAAGTGACTAGAAGGAAATAAAATCTACCACGGAACTAGAAATTAATAAATTCATTAATCAGCACATTTTTAAGAACTAAAACTGGTCTAACAGTGAATGAGGTGAGTTATCGATAAGTGAAGAAATAAAAATGGATAGGACCATAGATGTAACTAAAACAAAAGGGTGGACTAAATCAACAAAGAATAAATGTTTGATCAGTTGGACTTTGCCAGAATTGCAAGTAAATGCAGAAATTTTGTCAATGAATAAAAGTCAGCAAATAAATGTATTTGGTGCAAACTTTGCTTTATGCAGCTGGGGAGAAAGAGAAAATTGGCAGCAAAGACATAGATTCTTCCCTTGCTCTGTAATCAGTCACTGAAAGTCTGCAGTCTTCATAAGAAGCAGGATTAAGGATAATGGAACCTGTGTGTTAGGAGCTAACAGGAAACGTAGTCAGGATAACTTTGTCATTTCCCACTGAGAAGGCTATGGTGACTAGCTGCATACCACAGGGATCAGTGCCAGGGTCTTGTTGATTTGTGATCCCATGAATGACCTGGATAAAAGAATCAACTGCATATTTGCCTAGAACCCAAAAATAGGTGAGAAAATAAGTAGTAAGGAGGAGTCTGTAGAGGGATATAGATTGATGAAGTTGAGTACACAAAGCAATAGCAGAAGGAGTATGTATAATGTGGGAAATCTAAGGTTGTCCACTTTGGCAGGCAAAATAGAAAAACAGAAAACTATTCAAAAGGAGAGGGGCATGCAGAATGTAGCAGTATGTATTGATCTCGGTGCCCATGTACATGAACATTTTGCATTCGTATACAGTACAAGTAGTAATTAGGAAGACAAATGAAATGTTACCTTTTAGGACTGGATGGTAAAAATATGGATTATAAAAGTGAAGAAATGTTGCTGCAATCTGAGCATTGGTGAGTCCATACTTAAGAGTACCTCTATGTTTTTGGTTCCCTTACATGAGGAGGAATGTACTTGCGTTCAAATCACTGTGGTAGACAGTTTGTACGATGCTATCTTAGGATGAAAGTTGTGATTTGACAGAATGAAAGGTGACTTAATTAAAATATATTAAGATTTTGAAGGGATTTGACAGGATAATTACTGCGAGGATGTTTGCCCTGAAGCAGGGACCACTAGAACAAGAGTACACAATAAATCTCCTGCTTGAGAGATGATGAGGACTCTCATCTCTTTGAGAATTGTTGGTCTTTGGGAATTTTCTTCTCAAGCGATCAGTAGAAGCTGGGTCATTGAATGTATTCAGTGTTGAGTTAAACTTATTTTTGATTAGTAAGGGAATCAAAGGTGATGGGGGCAGGCTAAAATGTAGTTCAGGCTACAGTCATTCAAGTCATGATTTGTTTGTCTGGTGGACCAGGCCTAAGGGCTCAAAAAGCCTACTCCTACTCATTTTGATCTTCCAATGAGCCGTGTCTGTACGGGTTGGGGCAGTTAAGGATGGCCCTCGATTTAATCTACATTCTGTTGTAAATTAGATCATCTTAGCTGGCATACCGTAATCTGTCTTTGCTAGGTGTCTTGAGTTAATGATGGGAAAATAAGGTCGTTTTCCAACTGTTGATCATTGGAACTGTGTACGAGGATGAGAAAAGGTGATTTTGGTTGTTGAAAATTATATCTCAGTCCTACACCAATGTTCCAGGACTCCACAGGACAGCATCTTCAAGTCCTGAACGAGGTAATTAATGACCTTTCCTCCATCACAAAGCCAGTGAAGCTGGTAATTACAGACAATTCCTCTGATAATGAGTCATTCATGTCTGCATACAGCCAAGCGCGGACAGCTTTCGGATTCAGGCTGATGTGTGACACAATAGGAGAACTAAAAAATCTTCATGACTTTCAGTGGCATTTTCATTGTCAAATGCATTAATGCCATATCTCCTGGAGCAGGTAAGAAACTGGATATTCTGTACTAGGTCACTTGTCTTTTCAAAATCTCTCCATCAGCTGAAAGGCACTTGTCAGAGTCTGAATGAAACACTGTCCACTTGTATGGATGTATGTGGCTACCACAAACTGCACAGAATACTTGCCACCATCCCAGGCAAAGCAGTTCCTATGAACACTGCTTCATCTAGTAACTGAAACAACCAATCAGTCTACCATGCAATGTACTTTGTCTGCTGCTTATACAATTCAAGATGTACTGCCGCAATTTGCCATGGTTTCATTCGATCTGCTGATAACTGTCCTCGCTTGCTTAGCAGGACAAGGACATTGGATGTATGGAATACCTCCTCCAAGTCCCATGTTATCTACATTTGGACATGTATTACCATTTCTTCAATGTCACGGAGTCAAAATCCTTGAATGCACTGTGAGAGTTCCTTCACAAAATATACTTCAGTTCAGAAAGGCCCACAACCACCACCAACTCCTCAGGACAACTAGAGATGGGCAATAAATGCTGACTTCTCCAGTGAAGGGAAAATTAATTGAAACAAGAAGAGGACTCTTTTTCAGCTATGAACTTTTCTACAGTCGATATCCCCCGAGTGTACTTTAATAAAACTCCGCTTTAAATAATAGCAACTTGAATGAAGTGCACAGCATCAAGTGGAAGCCCAAACAAAACCTTTGTGAATCAGGAAAAGGCTATTGTACGGTTTGGATAATGAAGAAGCTGTTTCCGCCTGTTTATTTTGCTGAAATAATGTCTCCTATTACACATGTTTAAAGGCAATATCTCATTAATCACTGCACAATATGAAAAATTTTACAGTTGCGAAGAGATATATATGCATCCTTGATCCTTGAAATCCAATCCTTAAAATTCAATGGAAAGCTCTTCTTTTTCCAAAGATGGGACAGTGATGTTCTTGGTTATATCTGTGAGTGGTCTCAAACAATACCATCAACATTGTGTAGAATGTTATCTGGTTACAACTTCGTTCTTGATCTTCCAATTTCTTCTGAAGAGGGCTGGATGCTTAATGATATGAATATGTGCTCAATGGCTGCAGCCATGTATACATCTCGGAGAGTACACAATAACTTTTCTTTGTGTATACCATGAATTCCAAAAGGTCAGAGGAACATTTAAAGCAGGGATTTTTATTAAATTTGCACTTTTCAATAAATAAATGAAGTGGAAATGCATTTGAACATTTTTGAAGTGATTTATCTTCTAGTTGGCTAATAGTGTATCGATGTAGCATGAAATAAATGTAGAGTGACCACCTGGATTTAGAATTTCAAATTGTCTTCCTGAAATCAAAATTAAACAAATTCATACATTGTAAAATTACCACAGTTGTAACTCCATTCTATTTAATGTCCCTAAATGGGAAAACAACCTAAGCTACTTTAAGGGAGTACTTTCAAACACAAGCTACAACCGAGATATTACGGCAAGTTACTTAAAGTTTGGGCAGAGGGTGGTTTTCGAAAGTATACTAAAACGGGGGAGAGAGGCAGTGAACTTTAGGTAGGAATTCTAGAGGCTAAGGCCAAGGCTGAATTCTGGGTAGGATCATACACTTTATAACTATTACATGGATTTTGTTGAACACGTAATCCTGCTTCCGATGAAACATTGCAGCCTTGCTTTAACTTTGTGGTTCTGATGGAACTAAGAGAATTTGAACTAAAAGTATAATCCAGAAATGGGAATGAGTCTTATTGAAATGAAGTTGTGACTGGAGTGAGCTGCTTTGTTTTGTTTTACTTCTGTTGTACCAAACTGTCCCATCTTTTCCTTCAAATACATTGTAGGTCAATCTCGCCAACCTATGGAAGAAGCCAAGAATACCCTGTTGAGAGACCACTGTATCAGTCGTATAGTGGGGAACTAAAAGAATTTGGTCAAAGCACAGGAAGACCTGTTCAGTGGAAGAGTCAACGGGAAAAATGGGCTGAAACAGCAAGTGTAGAGTCAAGGTCAGGAGATGCTCAGTATGGTGCTATTCATCGTAAAGTTTTTGAGTATGGATATCCTTCCCCAAATCCAAGGAGAATGGGATCAGAACACACAACTCCAACAGGAAGAAACTTGTATCTACAAGAAAAAGAAGGAAACCGAAGCTACCCACCTCCCCCAAGATATCTTGAAGATAATCCATACCACGATCATGATGAACGACCATGTGACAGCAATGAATGGCATGAGCACCGACAAAGTTCTCACAGTGAACGGCACCATGAGCATGACCAATGGCACAATGACTTTGACCAGCGACGCTACCATCAAAATGTGGAAATTCCAACTCATGTCAGATTGTATAACGAAAAACCCAAGAATTTTGGAGGTGATCCACAAATGGATTCCTTTGCCCAGTCATTGCCGACTGCTTCTGGCTGTACAGAATCGTGGCATAACTCAGAAAGCTTTAGAAGCCCTAGTTTCCGCGAGGAAAGACATTCAGGTTCACATTCCCCTGGAAGACGAGCTAAAGAGCTTCTGGATAGGAGCCCCTACCAGAGGAGGTATTGGAATAGAACCATTAAGGTTGTGTTTTGATGTAGACCCTCAACTGAATAAAATGGTCACATTTGGAGTTGAAAATTTAAACTTGAAAGCCCTTTGTCCTAATCTGAAAGCGCGAGCATTTTATGTAAATAGCATGTTCTTCTGAGTTATTTTGAGAAAGAGCAGATTGATGTTTGAAAGCTGATGCTCACTTATTTTTCACTCAGCATCCTGCTGAATGGCTTTCAGAAGGATAAAGGGTTGAACTCGTGACCAAAGCAAAATACTGCTTTGAAGGCATTTGTCCTAAACTTGCTTCAAGTATTACCAAAACTTAATTCTCAATGTCTTCTTTCTACTGCAAGTGTAAACTGCTTTATGTCAAAACAGGTATCCTGATGAGGATGAAGTCAAAGGGTACAGAGAAACTTCTGGAAGAGGCTGGGTGTCTACAAAGCACGAGGTGATAGACCACGAAAGAGATTTAAAATGGAGAGGGGAGAAGTTCCCTCATAATAGGAAAAGCTACCCAACTGCACCATACGATGATTCAGAAAACAGTCATGTTAAAGAGATGCCAAGAGACCGATATAACGATAGCAGCCACTGCGAGGATTTTGTGCAGGTAAAAAGTGGGTTTGCACATTCACCAAGATATCCTGAGATGCATTCCTCTTCCGAGCATCACAAGATATTTTCCAGTGGAAGGCAGCCAGCATATTCAAGCAAAAGTAGAGAGTTTACAAGCAGCTGCTCAAGTAATAAAGAGGTGAGTCGTTTTCACAGTAGCAGTAGGAAATCAGGTACTGATGTGAACAGAAGAGAGGGGCGTCAGTCTGAGTCAGGAAAATATTCCGTTTCTGAGCATTCTTCTAGCAGGTTGCAACATGTATGCAAGAAAGAAGTAAGCTCAAGATCTAGACCTTCAGTAACCAGAGGCCATTCAGATACAGGAAAGGAATTAAGAAAGCACTCCAAATCTTCTGAAGACCACCATGGCAGCACTCACAAGCGATCGAGCCATCGATCTAATGATACGGAAACTTCACGACATGGTACAAAGAGTGAGCGAAACAGAACAACGGAGTCTCTAACCATCAGAATAGATACGAAGAAAACTGTCAACAAGTTCAGGTATTGTCCTTAATTCTTTGGTGATATGAGGCTGGGTAAAGAAATTTCATGCAATCGGTAGTGTATAATGAAAGATTTAGATAGTAGTACCCTAGTTCTCTTACAGAAAGTAGTTTTTCGATTAAGGTTTCCTTAGACCAGGGGTGCCCAAATATTTTCCCACCGAATCCCCATGTCATGACTCAAATTGGCATGCCTCCTCAGTGAGACTTGTAAGAGCTGAGTGAGGTTTGTGGGTTCGGGTGGAACCCAGGTGGGGCTGCAGAATTGAGAGAATTGAGATCATACTTTTCCTAAAAACGTTTGATGCTGACTGTCTCCACACTACGGAGTCAGGTGTTGAGGTAGTTGTTTTGGTCACAACCACAGTTTGAAAAATTTGAAAGATTTAAAGCTGTCTCACAACTCTTCACTCAGTCAGAGCTCCATGGTAGCCATTACTACCACAGAACCTGTGACACCAAACTCCAAATAACAATCCCCATTTTGGGAAGCTCTGCCTTCGACTTGGAGCTACAGCAGTGGCTGAATTACTCGTCTCTCTCTGTGATGCGGTGTTACGATTTACAGCTTATCCAGTTTTTACTCTGGATCATCATTTTCCTTGCTGACTCCTAGCTTTTCTACAAACACTTCAGCTCCTCATGAAAGGAGAAGTGCAGACAGAGAAGAATTTCATCACGAGCCAGAAAATAAACGCAATTGCATTCTTAAGCACCAGGAATTTGATCTATTCTTTAATAGAATCAAGTAGCAAGGAAAGACTGAGAATCGAACAGAGCTTTGGTTGATTTGGTTATTTACCAGAAGTCATGTTAAGAAAAAAAAATTAAATTGAGAAATTCCCACATGAAGATTTTATGGACATCAGGATGTTCTTTCTAGTTTTGGTTCTGGAAAGTTGTTGAAGACTGCATTTATTGTGAAAAGCTGGAGCCAGTGATTAGAAAATTACACGAAAAAAGTTAGCCGTCCTGAACTAAGACCTGGTACTAATGAAGCTAATACTCATTGCAAATGCCTGAGTGCTCGCACTTTCAACTGAAGCATTATATTGGATAGACAATATCTTTCTGCAAACCCAGTTTGTACTGCGGAATTATTTTGCTGTGCGAAAGATCTTGTCAGAATGTCTTATCAAAGGCTGAGAGTGGTTCAGATGGCTCATCTCAGTCGGGCAAAGGGGAATCCAGCATCATTCAGAAGAGGTGGAAATTTTTATAATGGTGTGAATGGTTCACCTGCCACTTCTCAGAAGCTCTGCAGGAGTTGGGTAACTAATTTATATATTCAGAAAGGAGAAGAATTAAATGTGAAAGGGAACAGAATTGTTGGCACCAGAGGCAAAACGATGCTGCCTCCCAGGCCTCGGACTGAATTAGTACAAGGAACCGGAAGGGTGCACAAGATGAAACCGCCAAGGCAGCAAGATTACATTTTATATTACATTGATTTGTACCTCGTGAAGATAATATTTTACAATCAATGAATAGCACACCTGTTAACAAGAATCGATCACAGGAGCATATTTGCATTGGATGGACAGTATCTTTCTGCACGCCACTTATGCTGTAACACTACTTTGCTGTAGGGATACACAATGGATCTTGAGAATAAAATCTACCACTTCCATCTCTACCAAATCTACCACACCATCCAATTGGACTTGGGCAATGTTCAAATGTGTTTTTTACGAAGACCATATTGAGTTAGAACTGGTCAATTGAGCTACAGCCTTATTATGCCATCATTTTGTAATGGCAGAACAACCATTTAATGAAGTCAACTCATTATTCAGTAATGCTAATCAAGAGGTCAGTCAGCTTCTAATTTGAAGTAAATAGCTCTCATACTATGTAATGACCTGCAATATATTAACTTTTTGGTTAACTTCCTTTTGCGTCCTTTATTTAGATTACTATCAAGCTCCTGATTGAATGACGTTACCCAAGCCAATGTCATGAGTGAAAACTGCCAGTTCAAGTTGAGGTCTCCCAGTTCAAATAAAAGGATCCCTCCTGTCGTGATCGTTGCAAATTTCAAGTGTACATATTCAATGCCTCTGTAATAAATAATGAGCAAATTGGCTACAAGTGAACTCAGTAGATTGACATGGGCCGAAGAGGATCTCGAGGACATACAGGCAGTGTCATACTTCACAATGAAAATTGGTTTAGACTTGAAAATCATGCAGCTACTTTTTTTGAATGACACAGTTGAGCAGTGAATGCGTCACGTTGTTTGGTTCTGGGTAGTAATCCAGAAGAACCTGAGGGAAGCAGTAAATTAGAAGTCACACTTCCATTGGGAGCATCTTGTTTCATTATTTCACCTTCTAGGGAGTCCAAACATTATCTTTTGTCATTGAAAAGCATTCCGATCACTGAATAGCTAATCAACACCCTAAAGGTCACTGAACTGGACCGGCCATGTAACGACAAGATCAGAGGCTGGAAATTCAGTAGCCACCAATTACTCACCTTCTGGTTCCACAAAGCCTGTCTAGCTTGTACAAGGCATAAGTCAGGCATGTGTTGGAGTACTAACCACTTGCCAGGATCAGTGCGGGACTAACAATGTTATGAAACTGGGTAACTTCTGGGACAAAGTCTGCTCAATTGGCTCTCAGTCTGTCATCTTAAACATTTATTCTGTCCATCACTGGTATGTAGAGCTGCCTCGTGTACATCTAGAAAATGTATTACAGGAATTTGCCAAAGGCTCCTTCGACAGCATCTTTCGAACCCATGACCTCTACCATTTGAAAGACAAGAGCTAAAGATACGTGGGACACCATCATCTTCAAGTTCCCTCGAAACCACATACTATCCTGACTTGGAATGACTGTATATTGTACCTACATTTGCTGGGTCATAATCCTGGAACTCTAGCAGCACAGTGGGTGCAGGGACTGCAGTGGGTCAGAAAGGCAGTTCACTATCTCCCATCTCCTTCTCATCACCAGTTGAGGATGGAAAATAAATACTGGCTCAGCCAGCAATGGCCACATCCGATTTTCAAAAATACATGTTTTTCAGATGAAGATTCAAGATGACCCAGTGTTCACTGCCATTAGGGAGAGGACATAACATGTGAACAGCTGGCCAAAAATAAGACCAGCATTATCCTTGTTAATCTTCTGATTTTCAGTGTGAATTAAATTAATATTTCAAGATTTGGTTTTAATCTTACTGATGTAGCTAATTGATACATCTGCAGTGGGCTTCAATTAATGGATAACTCAAAACTTTCTTGTTAACTTCGTTTGCTTGGGCCATTAACTGCACCACCTCTACGAAAACGTTGAGAACTGCCAGTTTGAAATTGCATTTTGCTGAGAATTGCCTTGAAGGACAACACATCAATTCATGAAAAAGCCTGAATTTGGATTTCTAGACATGATGTGCCTTTTCATGTGAAATTTCTTTCTGCTCAGCCTCAACTTTCTCAAATATTCAGTCATAAATGTGATGATTTTCCCTTTTGATAACTGCTTTGAAAGCTCAAATCTGTTTCTAAGGATTAAGTCCACTTGAAACAAATGAGTTCTCATGTATGTATAGTCTTGTTCAATTCTGTAGTATGTACTATTCTATAGTATATGTGCAGGTGTTATTTTAGAAGAAGATTTTAAGGAAACCAAAGCCAGATCGTTTAAGGTACGGATATGATTCTCCAAAGTTTTACATATTCTGCTTTACTTCCCTTCTCTGGAATGTAATATCCATGACAATTAATGATTGGTAAAATAGATTGGAATTAATTTAGTATATTTAATAGGCTTAATTTCATGGAGTGCAATTCTTTTTACAAAGTGTTAAAGTACTTGGCTGAGGATGTGGCGAGAAATTATTCTTGCACTGTTCAGTATTTACCAAGAGTTTGTGCTGTTCTCCTCCTCATACGTTCCATAAAGGGGATGTTATCATATAAAACAATGTGTATCTTGCTTCATAATTTCCATATTTCTTTTGGTACAAACATATCATCAGCCTTGTCAAGCCTAAGTTCATGGAAGTTTTCCTTTGTAAAAGGAAGTGGATTTCAGTGGTTCAAGAAGGCAGCACACGACCACCACCTTGAGGCATCTAGGGATAGGCATTAGCACCGACACAGCCAGCATTGCCCACTTTCCATGATTGAATTTTTAAAAAGTGTAGCGTAATAGTTATAGACGTCTAAAGTCAGATTTTTAATCCTAATGTAAACAGGTGTCGATGCCCTAACTTCCAACACTCTATCTCTGAGTGCCATCTCTCATCATTTTAATGGGAAGGCAAATTTAGACAGCTGTGGGAGTATAATTCAGACTTAAGCCATTTTGGAATCCATATCATAGCTGTTCATCTTCCCAAACTGAGCTATTTCCAAACAACTCTGAATTAGTGGCAGATCAGAAAATGAAACGAGCCTCTCTTAATTACAGTATTTACAGTGGACCCCATAGTTTAGAGAACAATTTAGAGATGATATTTGAAGGTTACACCGAGAAATTTTGATATTTAACAGATTGAAAAGGTAACAATGCCTGTGGAACGTTCATTAATAGTTTAGAATTGCCAGTTTCTGTAATTACAAGGTTTGCTGTCTTTGCACTTATGCATATTTAAATGTAATATAGATTCTTTTGATAAAAGTTAATGAATGACTGATACCTGGTTGTGAATTTTTGAATGTATGTGGGGATTTCTCCAGGCCGACATCAAGTCATGCTTCAGAGAGACTAATGTCTCGGGATTTGGTTAGTGTTGGCAAGAAACGGGATGAATTCCATCATGTGTTTGAGCATATGGGTTCGTCATTCGAGGCTAACCCGAACATCTCTTCAGGAGAATTTGCCCAGGAGATAATCACTCTGGTGCACCAGATTAAAGGTTGGACATACATTATGGCATCCTTTTTATTTAGTTGCAAGAAATGCTACTGCTAGTGAGATAATGGTACTAAAAGCGTTGTTTGTTGTTCAATGTCCTAAGAACAGACGATTAAATATTGTCTAAAGGTGCTTAAAACCATGTTAATGGTAACATGTGCGTTCTTCACAATTGTTTAAAATATTGTATATTAACATTGTGAAATCTAGCTTAAAATTGAAGCACTTTCATTTTCTGGTTGCTGAATGTATGAAGTGAATGAGTTGGGGTTGTAGCATTACTTCATTTCATAGTAGATACCAATTCACTTGAGCCTAAAATTGCACATTGTACTTGAAGAGATCAAAGTTGAATTTGAAGGAGACTCATGTGGAACATAAACAACAGGGTAAATTACCTGTGCCGAATGGTGAGTTCCCAAGCTTGGATTGAGTAATATTTGTATATACCACGTGTTTGTCAGTGGCAATGGTATGATGATGATTTTCCATCATTTGCATAGACTAATGAGTGGCATTAGTAAACCCACAGTATTCCTGACCTTTGCAAATGCTCTCATTTTAGCAATTTGGTTAGAATTATTCTGAACTGAATGTTGAGCATATATTTTGTATTGGAAGCCTTGGCCAAATATTAAACCCAACAGTCTCGCAGATTAGTGACCTTCATAAATCAATGGCCCAGAAATGCACGTGGCCAGATATAATCGTTTTTCCAGGGTAGTTTGGAGTTATGCATAGGGACCATGTGGAAATCCTGACACTTCCTTACTGGGAATTGCCTGGGAGATTGAAATTTCTTTGGGTCATATCCTAAGCCCCCAAGAGTTAGAAAATGTGGAGAATTGGAACTCAATTCAGCTATTAGTTACCAATGAAAAGTCAGGGCTTACAAATGTGCTGCAATTCCAAGGTTAAAGCAAGCCCTGAATCCACCTGGCCCCCTGAATTTTCAACTACACTCCTTGCGTTCCACCTTCCTTCCTCCTCCGCCAGCGTCCCCAATCCATTGTCAAGGTGGCTGCTAGACATTCAACTTTAGAGTTAGGCAAAGTTACTGCTTACTGTTTCCACCCTTATCTGCTCCACTGCTGGCTTTGATGTTTCTTGGACTAATCAAAAGACTTGTGTCCAGGTAAGAGCAGGGCAGAATTGATATAAATGTAAGAGGGATAATTTACTCCAAAAGGATCTCTGATACAGATTCCATTCCTGATTGGAATTTCTGGGCCATTATTTATCTCCTGAACATTTAGATGATGGTTAAATATGTTGTTTGTATGTTGTTTACTGCAGTTAATCTCAAGTTAGTGAATTTCCCCTATAACTCCCCCCTTGCTGTCTTACATAAAACTTGAGAGAGGCAAAAGAAAAGCATTCTGGAATTTACTCCAACATTCAAAAAGACCATGGCTGCTGTAATATTTCTGTTCTTACACACGAACCGCTTGGTTCCTTTAATCTCCAAGGGTTGTAACTGTCAGTTATAAATTTTGGCGTATTCGTAGCCCTGTGAACAGAGAATGTCAAAGCTTTGCAACCCACTGAATTATGAAGTCTCTCATCATTGCAATTTGAAATTCTAAACCTTTTAATCTGAGCCTGTGACCTTCCACCTTAGCCAGATGGGGAATAAACCCCATGCTGTTGTCATTATGATCCACATGCTGGTCACCTAGCCAAACAAGTGAACTGATGCCCTCTTCCTCTCACTTAAGTTATTGATGTAGGTTAACTAGCATTGTTTGTTAATTTATATGTTTGCATAAAACACACTTTGCAATAGTTAAAAATATGTCGGTTATATGGACGGGTGAGAATTAAATACATTTCAAGATTTTAGTACGCTGGCATGTAGTGCCATGAGATTTGTACTAACTTCTAAGAATATCTAAAGATACAGTGTCTTAATTTTATGTAAAATCTAGCATTTCTACTTCCCTACTGAGATGTGACCCAAGGTAATGAGTGATCATGATTTTTGTTACAGAAGACCATTTTAAGTCTTCAGATCTAACATTGCATGACCGCTTTTCAAAGTTGCAAAATGCACAGAGTCCTGGAAGAAATGAGGAAAACGCTCGGGGCCCTGAGATACACAGGTATTGTGGTGATACTGCGTGTGTTTTACAGTTTTTCTGAAGCCAGCCTTTTATTCCTTAAGAACATGATATACTTTTTTTTTCCTTTCTGGGAAAGACGGATTGACATGTCTCTGGCAGACTTGCACAACCGAGAAAGGAAACCTGTTGCCAGAAAGGTATTGTACCCTGTTTAGTGTTCCTCATTTCATTCCCTTTTCCATTTGCACTGTAGCTTGTATAACTATTTTCTTATGACTCAAAATGAGGCTGTGAGAATACAAATTGGAATTTATCTATCATCCAACACCACCAGGTGTGCACAAAATTCATATTACACTTGTGCCTGATTAGATAAAGCAGCAAGAAGACAATGAATGGGTACTGAACTGTACAATAAAGCATTGGCAGGTAGGTACAGAAAACCATTTATTATACAACACTGAGTGCCAGGCTGTACTGTGCTCCTGACATCTAGGGGGAAGATTTAAACCCATGCCCTACTAACATTTTTACATCTTTATGCATAGCATGCTTTCACTCATTCCATCTGAGTTAGAGGATCCAGAAGATCACTTGTGTCTGTTCAGCATCAGGTCCATAGCACTTGAGCCCTCTTGTAGCCAGGCTTCTGTCATTCACAATGGTAGCTCAACCTAAATCAACCCTGCCTCCTCAACAAAATTTTTCAGTTTTTTTCCAAATAGGTAACAAAAAACTGACCATGTCCTGTGGATCGAGACAAACCATGTATCTTGATCCAGTTTCTCCTTTGATTTGCTCTAATCCCTGGACGTGTGTTTTATTCTTAAGTGACTGCCTTGACTACTTCCCCTAACCACTCCATTTCCCAGTCTATCAAGTGAGAATATATAACTTTACACTGCTGTTTTTATTAAAGACCCACAGTATTAAACAAAAGGCCTGACCATTCTTGCAGCATTACAAAATTTCAGGCTAAGCTGAGCAAGCAGCTATTGTGAATTTCTCTTCTGGTGCAATTTTACTTGATTTCTCAGAAAAGCTTTTCGTTGGGATGGAATTGGTTGTGTTGTCAAATATTTCTTGGTAAAAATGAAGCCTTACTCTGTTTTTTTGAATCTGCAGTAGCTGGTTTGATTTTACTTGTACCTGTTCTGTAATACTCAGACCAGCACATGGGTTGCTGTAAATCCAGATGATCTTCGTCATGACATAGAGAGAAGGAGGAAGGAAAGATTGCAGGACAAGTATGGGGAGGCCTATCAAGCTCTGGAGCCGACATTTCCCTCACGCAGGTAACTCCCAGGATATCAAAAATGATTTCAAGGTTCTACTCTTAGTATATCCTCACATGTCAATCCACTTCACTGACCGTTCACTGCTGAACAAAGTATTTTTACTTTGGTAATGCTTGAAGCAGGGGTCATTGCAAGTGTTCGGTTGGAAGATATTCCTTGAACTGCTGCAGGAGATAAATAAAAATAGTACTGGACTTAACTCAGCTGAAAGTTAGGTAATTAAAACAACTGGTTTAACTTTTTTTTTCTAATCAACTAGGTCAGCGATGTTATTACACACTTCTGGAGCAGGTTGACTTGAACCCAGGCCTCCTGGTCCAGAGGTAGGATCACTACCACTGTACCACAACAGGGACCACAATATCTGCCGCTCCATCCCTGAGTGATCTCAAACCACCAAACTTTCACTTAAATTAATGTATTGACCAATTGCACCTAAGCCTGGTATTCCCAGCGGTTTCCTAACCAAGTGCTAACCAGACCTGAGTCGGCTTAGCTTGCAAGATCAGACATTTTCAGACTAGTATGGCCTTAGTCATAACAGGTTTTACTTGGGCGTTTTGCACCAGAGGAACAAACTGTCATTCCCTGACTGGGAATTGAACCCAGGCAGCAGAAGTGAGAAGCTGAATCCTAACCACCAGGGAAGGCAACACTATGTCTGTCATCATGAGTGATATTTTAATCAGTCTGTCCAGAGCGTTATGACCCATCTTGGAAGCAGGTGGAATTTAAACCCAGGCCTCCTGGCTCAAAGGTCGGGACACGACCACTGTATCACAAGAGCCCAATCCAGTTTCAGAAGACTTTGAATTTGGGGTCATAAAAGGTGACCTTGGTGTATGATGCCTTGCCTGCTCTGGAGTGCTGCTTTGTTGTGTTAGAATGTAGCTGGAGTTTGGTGAAAGAGGGAAGTATATAATCAATGCCCCTTTCTTGCTCATTGGTGAATACTTTCCGCTCTTTAATGTAAAAGTAAGTAATGCATTAAGGAATGCATACTGCATGTGCTCGATATGTTTGTCCCTAGCAGGCAGGGAAGATGCGCTCGAGTGAGGGAGCCTTGGTTCTCGAGAGGTCGAACGTCTGGTTAAGAGGAAGAAGGATGCTTATGTAAGGTTTAGGAAACAAGGAAGGGAAAAGGCTCTAGAGGGATACAAGTTATCCAGGAAGGAGCTGAAGAACGAGCTTAGGAGAGCCATAAGGGGGCATGAGAAAACCTTGGCAGGCAGGATCAAGAAAAACTCCAAGCCTTTTTACACGTACGTGAGGAATAAGAGAATGACCAGAGAAAGGGTAGGGCCGATCAAGGATTGTAAAGGGAATTTGTGCACGGAGCCTAAAGAGATAGGAGAGATCCTTAATGAATACTTTTCTTCGGTATTCACAACTCAGAGGGACCTAGTTGTAGAGGAGGACAGTGTGAAACAGGCTGGTCGGCTAGAGGAGGTCGATGTTAGTAAGGAAGATGTGCTAGGAATTTTGAGGAAGTTGAAGGTAGATAAGTCCCCCGGGCCTGATGGGATTTATCCAAGGATTCTATGGGAAGCGAGGGAAGAGATCACAGGGCCTTTGGCAATGATCTTTTCGTCCTCACTGTCCACGGGTATAGTGCCGGAAGATTGGAATGAGGCAAACATCATTCCCTTGTTCAAAAAAGGGAATAGGGATAACCTCGGAAATTACAGACCAGTTAGTCTTGGCGGGCAAATTATTGGAAAGGGCTCTGAGAGATAGGATTTATGATCATTTGGAAAGGCACGGTTTGATTCATGATAGTCAGCATGGATTTGTGAGGATCATGCCTCACAAACCTCATTGAATTCTTTGAAGAGGTGACCAAACACATGGATGAAGGTAGAGCAGTGGATGTGGTATACATGGATTTAAGTAAGGCGTTTGACAAGGTTCCCCATGGTAGGCTCTTGCAGAAGGTAAGGAGGCATGGGATAGGGGGAAATGTGGCAGATTGGATTCAGAATTGGCTGACCCTTAGAAGACAAAGGGTGGTAGCGGACGGAAAATATTCAACATGGTGCTCAGTTACGAGTGGTGTACCACAAGGATCTGTCCTGGGTCCTCTCCTATTTGTGATTTTTGTAAATGATTTGGATGAAGGAGTGGAAGGGTGGATTAGTAAGTTCGCAGACGATACAAAGGTGGGTTGCGTTGTGGACAGTGCGGAGGGCTGTTCTAGTTTACAAAGGGACATTGATAGGATGCAGAGCTGGGCTGAGAAGTGGCAGATGGAGTTTAACCCTGAAAAGTGTGAAGTGATACATTTTGGAAGGACAAACTTGAAAGCAGAATACAGGGTTAATGGAAAGATTCTTGGCAGTGTGGAGGAGCAGAGGGATCTTGGGGTTCATGTTCACAGTTCCCTGAAAGCTGCCACCCAGGTGGATAGAGTTGATAAGAAGGTGTATGGTGTGTTAGCTTTCATTAATTGAGGGATTGAGTTCAAGAGCTGTGAAGTTATGCTCCAGCTATACAAAAGCCTGGTTCGGCCACATCTGGAGTATTGTGTCCAGTTCTGGTCGCCTTATTACAGGAAAGATGTGGAAGCGTTGGAAAAGGTGCAGAGGCGATTTACCAGGATGTTGCCTGGAATGGAGGGAAGGTCTTAGGAGGAAAGGTTGAGAGAGCTAGAGCTTTTCTCTTTAGAACGATGAAGGATGAGAGGTGACTTGATAGAGGTGTACAAAATGATCAGAGGTATAGATAGAGTGGACAGCCAGAGACTTTTTCCTAGGGTACAGGTAGCTATTATGAGGGGGCATAGTTTTAAAGTGAGTGGAGGTAGGTTCTTTACTCAGAGAGTGGTAGGGGTGTGGAATGCATTGCCAGAGAGGGTAGTGGAGTCGGCCTCATTAGGGGTATTTAAGCGGCTATTAGATAGGCATATGGATAATAGTATAAGATAGGGGTGGAGTTTAGGTAGACCTTAGGATTAGGGTAAAAGTTCGGCACAACATCGTGTGCCGAAGGGCCTGTACAGTGCTGTACTGTTCTATGTTCTATGTAAAAGTAAGACTTGAGGGAATTTGGGGCATAGGGAAAAGAACAACTTTAAGGAACTCATACGATGCAGAGTGTCAGAGAGATTGTGAATCTGGCAAGAAGCAGCTGAGCAGAGCAGTGGGAAGACTTTCGAAGAAACAGCCCAGTGTTACTGTCGCTCAACCTAGGGGCTGAGCTCCTGAGTGACATCAGGATTCACGAGTGACACAGGGCGAATGGGTGCTGCTGATTGGCTGAGTACAGGCAGTGAGGATTTGTCCTACTATTATTGCTCACTGTTTGTAAAGTCTTTATTTTGTGATTTTTAGTTTGCAAGGGCTGTATTCTGTTTTGATGAGGTCAAGGGAAGAAGGGCCCTGAATTCATTGATATTATTTGATTTTAAGAGCCCTTTAAAAGTTTCATCCAAATGGAAAATCATGTCAAAGAGCTCAAAGCCGTGGTGCGCTATTCCTGCTCTATGTGGAAAGCCAGGCACATTTCCAGTGCCCGGAGCCAGTATGCATACGGGAAGTGTCCAGCTGTCCAAGTGTTTTAGACCTGGATTGGCAGCTGCAGACACCATGGAGCATCGTATAGTGGATAGCATGGATAGTGAGGTGGACACACCACAGGCTAAGACTGCATAGGCAGGAAGGGAATGGGTGACCACCAGCAGAGTAAGAGGATAGGCAGGCAGTGCAGGGAGGGCGAGAGTTACCTGCAACAGTGAAGGAACGGTGATATATTTCCCAGTCAGGATGGTGAGTGGCTTAGTGCCCCCTTCTCACGGGCAACTAGGGACCATTGCAGGTGATGGTGTTTCCATGTATCTACTGCCCTTGTCCTTCTAAATGGAAATGGCTGTGGGTTTGGAAGGTGCTAAGAATCTTTGGTGAATTTCTGCAGTGCATCTTGTAAATAGTACACTGCTGCCACTCAGTGTGGTGGTGGAGGGAGTGGATGCTTGTACTTACGGTGCCAATCAAGCGGCCTGCTTTGATTTGAATGGTGCCAAGCTCCTTGAGTGTTGTTGGAGCTGCACCCATACAGGCAAGTGGGGAGTGTTCTATTGCAGTCCTGACTTGTGCCTTGTAGATGATGGACAGGCTTTGGGGAGTCAGGAGGTGAGTTACTTTCTACAGTTTTTCTAGCCTTCTACAGTTTTCTTGAAGCTGCTGTGTTTGTGTTGCAAGTGCAGTTCAGTTTCCGGTCAGTCCCATTGTGGGTAGAACCATAAAGGAGAAAAGACCCTGAAGGGAGTTGTGTACAGATCTCCTAGCAATGGTCAGGATGTGGGGCAGAAAATAAATCAGATAGAAAAGGTATAGAAGAAAGACACTATTACAATAATCATGGGGGACTTCGATATGCAGGTGAACTGGGAAAATCAAGTTGTGGTAGTAGATCCCAAGAAAAAGAATTCATGGAATGTATCTGAGTTTATTTTTGAGCAACTTGTGGTAGAGCCCAGTAGGGACCAAGTAATTCTATTTTCATATTCCATAAATAATTCTGATAATTCAACCTGATATTACATCTTTTAAAGGAATAATTTAGTATTTTCCATCATATTACAAATTTCTTTCTCTCATGCACAATTTTATTTGACCTTTGGTTTCAGAATAAACTTTTCTGTTTTATAGATCTGAGAGGCCTGAAAAATCTCATTTGCTCACTCGAGTGAAAACGGCAAGAAACCCACGATTTAAAGAACCATCAGTCAGGTTAATGAAGTATCGGGTAAGAATAGTGAAAAGCGGTTATGGTCAGTCAGTTCTTTACAACACATTAACTTGTTAGGTCTGTGTTTTAGAGAAGAGGAAAATATGAGTACATCTGGACCCAAAGCCACTATCATGAAGTGTGCTGAACACCATCTCATCAAAAGAATGTATTTAAGCTTCTGACTATGCACATTTATTTCTACTAAGTTTGTTTACTTCTCCTAAAATCCAGTGTTGCATCTAGCTGTATGACACTGAAATGCTGGACTGACTTGTCCCAGTGCAACTGGTCTACCTGGCATACAATTGTGTACACTCAATTTTAGACTTGTTGCATTGTTTGATCATGTCATTTCTGTTACGGTAGAAATGATCCATATGAGTTTAAAAACAGTCTTTACATGGAATGTGAAATATCATTCTGGTCGTCATGCAAGTAGTTTCTTTCTAAATGTATTGTTTCCAAATATTTGTAGGAAAGCCTGCACAGGGAGGCAACTGTTAGAAAGGCTTCTGTAGCAACAAAAAGAAAAATAGGAGAAACGTCAGAAGAGAGACCCAGAAGTTATCAGAGACCTCTCAAGGTATTTAATCCTGCCTCTGCATGTTTTAAACACACAGCTTATGGTGTAAATCTAAGAAGCAACTTTAACATTTTATTCTACGTACCAATTTAGATTGGCAAAATAAACTGTAGCAATGTATCAGTAAACCAGTTCTGATGAAGAGTCACTTGACTCAAAACGTTAACTTTGCTTTCTTCCCACAGATGCTGCCAGACTTGCTGAGTTTCACTAGCAATTTCTATTTTTGTAGCAGTAAACCCACTCTGGTGTTTGTACTGTTAATGATTTTATGCGTAGTACGCACAAGATAGCTGCAGTTCTTTCTTGGTACTTAGTTTGTTTTTAAATGTAAACTTAAGAATTGGATGTCCACTGTTTGTTGCATGGATATTTGTATGAACGTATCAAGACTATTCTTCAGAAGTATAGATGTTATTGATGATGTATTAAAACCTAACTGACTAAAGGGTAGAGGTCTAGTGAAATTCAAAATGTAACATTTGCTTACCTTTGTGGATTATACATGTGGGATTATTCAAGTAAACTGCTTTCTGTGTAGATATTTTTATTGTAATGAATTTGGGAACAAAACATTGCGAATAGACAGCACACACTCCAACTGCATCTGCTGTTTTTAACATGCCACACTTAGAGAGCAAGATAAGGCAGAAAATGAAAGCTTGTATCAGACATCAAGAACTCAATGCTGTAGAAAGCCAAGAGGAGTATAGAATGTGCAGCGATGAATTTAAAAAGGAAGTAAGGAAAACAAAGAGATGGACAAAAGAATATTGGGAATTAAAATCATGTTGAATTCAAAGATGCCTTACAAAATAGGGATGAAAGAAAAGCTAAGAGAAAAGGAGGGCCCCTGAAAGACCTCAAGGATAACCTGTTCATAACGATGGTGTAGGAAGTGCTGCCTGGTTTATTGTTTACCAGCTACCTGGTTCTGACATTGGGCTTACGTAGCGGAATGCGGTGTGGTGGAAAACTCAGGAGGCAGATGCTTCAGAGGCAAAGAAAACACTGATTTTATTGAGAGACAAGCAAATTGAATATATTTACAGGAAAACAAGGAAGTGAATATCAAACCTGACTACTAATGACTGAGACCTGTCTCTCAGTTAAGCCTTACAGCCAAGACTTGATGTGGTGGGTAAATAGATACTGTGGGTGGCTATTCCCTATGCTAACAGGGAAAAGAGAGAGCAAGTGAGAGAGACACTTTACCTGCTAACCCGAGGTCCTATTCTGCTTCCCTTCCTTAGGGATGCCCTGCACCGTTAGCCCCTGAACCCCACCTTCCCCGATCTAAGACTAGCTAAGCTGGGTTAGAGGGTCTCAATGACCTTAGGCTCACCCATGGAGTCAAAACGCGATTTTGACTGGCTCTTGTCCGTCGTCTCTTGCTGTAGCTGGGACTCTGTGAAGGGCGCAAGTGATGCTAACGGTCAGTCGCAAAGGTGTCAGCTGATAAGGTTAGGTGCGTTTGACCTGGTGGGTGAGTACCTTGGGTTTTCTTTCCTTGCTTGGTGGTCCTTGTGAGCAGGTTGTTGTCTCGGATGGTGGTGGATGTTGCTGGTGTTGCCCTAGTCAGTGTCTTGTGTCTCTGATGCTCTCGGCCAGACGTCGAATGGAGGTTTGTGGTTGATTGGTGTTCGGTGGTTGCGAGGGTTGCTCTTGGTGTGGAGCGTCCTTGGAGTCCTTGACTCGGAGGTGTCCGCAGGAACTTTTCTCTTGATCGGTAAGTCTGACCGATCTCCTTTCCCTTCCTCGTGGCTTTGGTTCATGGACTCCTTCGTATGCGGGG